CACCCATCTTAAAGTTGCCAAGGTTGAGAAACACTGAACTAGATCTAATGAACACCTAGTTTGCCATATTAGAGTGCTTTGTAACTTGATAGATATACAATCGTCTTCCACATACTAATTTTTTATGCTCCTCTGTCCCCATTTAATGCTCCTACCCCTACTTTTAGATTCTTGTTTTTATGCAGACTTTTAAATGTATATATCTTTTTATATCTTCCAGCTTTTCAGAATTCTTTTTAGATTTTTATTTTTACTCTTGATGTATATTTTTAGATCCTTCATGCTTCTTTTTAGTGACTGAACCCCACCCACCTTACGCTGGTCTATGATTATAATAAAGATTTGATGGATTGATTGATGATTGATTGAGCTTAATATAGTTTGGTGACAAATTAGCCCTGTGTTGAGTTCAGGATCAGATCTTTGTGAAGCATCAAAATGCCAACAAATCTTGCCTTTTCTCTAAATGTTTTGGGTTGCAATGTGCAGCTGGGAAAAGAGTCACTTTTTTGTGACACGGGCAGTGATATAAATATGATAAATAATTAAACAACATTGCCACCTTCCTTATGTTCTAAAATGCTGCATCAACAGGATCGCAGAGCACTGCTTTTCTCAAGTGCTCAGACTTCAGAAAATCTTCCAAGGACCACAGGACAAATAGAGGGAAAAACCAAATTCTTCAGACATAGAAAAGAAACATAAAATGAGACACTGGGTACCCTTTTAACTTTTGCATCCACCGCATATTGTTTAAAAACAAATCCTGGGAAATGCTGCTGATCTGATCCAGATAGGAAGGATCTCCTTTCTTGACAATCATTTTCCATTGCAAAGGGCACCAAATCTTGGCATCCAGTGACAATATTTCTGTTTGCCCACATGCTGGCTTCAAATTGTGCTCCTGCATCTTCTGTTCTGCAACTGGCATAGGTTTTGCTCCTGGGTTATGAGGCTTCAAGCTATTTGGGGAACTAAACAGATGTTTTCCCCACACCCGCATGGGGTTCATGGAATCATTGAACCATTGAAAGGGCCTTGCTGGACACCTAGTTCTGTCTCCTGCTCCATGCAGAATTCCCCCAAATGCTCCTAGAAATTTAACCAGTGGAGTCCTTGGTGCTCTCTGAACTTGGTGGTTTTCCTGCAGACTTTTCAGTACCTGACTAGGTAACATCATAGTGCTAGTGAGTGTGGGGTTTGCTCCATTTATATACAGTAGCTTGCCCTGCCAGTGTTGGTGGGGGTGTGGTTTCCTCCTTGGTGGTTCCTTGATTAGGGTATTGTTTTCTGCTTGATTGTTTGTCTGGTGGGTAATTCCTTGATT